TGAATTTAAACCACTGGGTCTGGGACTTGAACCGCGGTAGGCTATATGGGAGTCCAGTGACGTAATCATTACGCCAACTGCTGGTCCCTGTGTCTTTCTTTTGTTTTTAAGAATTGTTTATTTAATCTTATTTATTATTATTTTTTAATTTGACCAGAGAGAGAGAGAACGAGAATGTGAGAAATAAGCTGCCAAGTCAACCGCAGTTGGCCACGTGGGGATCCAGGCCTTACTCGACATGCCACCTGCCAGCCCCAGTCTTAAATACATTTCAAACACGCACATATGAAAGCATTTACAAATGAGTTGTTTTCCTTTTTCTTTCCAGAAGGTGTAGGCACTCACTGGAGACAGAGAGAGAGAGAGAGCTCCCCCAGGCAGCGTGGTCACATGGTAATCCTTTCTTCTCTGTTTCTCCATTCATGCAGATTTGGGGCCCTCACACACATGCACCCAGCATGGATTTTCAAGCTGCCAGGGCTGGGATTCAAACTCCGCTTGCTCATGTGGGAGCCGGCTTCCTTAACCACAGGCTGCAGGCCCGCCCCACAGTCTTGTCTGGCCAGCTGGCAGGTGTGAGTGGCACCTCACTGTGGCTTCGGTCGGCATTTCCCTGCTTAGGAAATAGCGCGAGCAACTTCTCACAGACTCACTGGCCCTGGGAGAACTGCTTCGGGCTCTCCAAGTTTCCTGAACATTCTTCTGTCACGTTATTTTCATTTTTGTATTGATTTGCAGCGCTCTTTGGAGGTTCTGGGTGGGAGCTCGATCAGCTGTCTGGCTATTCTTTCCTGCCCTGTGGCTTGCTTCTCCTCTTTATGGTGTCTTTTGAGGAGCAGATGTTCTGAATCATAAAGAACTCAGGCTTGTCTGTTGTTTCCCTTATGGTTCATCCTTTCTAAATCCTATTTAATTAGTCTTTTTCAAAAGTTTCTTTATTTCTCTGTGAGTGAGAGACAGAGAGAAGCTCTCCTTGTCATGCCACAATCTTTTTTTTTTTTTTTTGAGAGGTTTTTGCTATAGGGTGCGTGCGCTCGCCAGACAGAGACAGACAGAGAGACAGAAAGCGAGAAATCACCTCCAGGGGGGATGGTCACGCTGCAATCCCTTCTCCTCCATTCTCCTCTCGGGATCTTGGACACGCATGCACACAC